ATAAAGTAGTAAAGATAATAATCTTTCATTTTTCTCCACAAACTCATTCCTCTGGCAGAGCTCCATTCTAGTTAATTGTTCCATCTGTCTCCTGCGGGCTCTCTCTTGGCACCAGCCAATATCCGCTCACTCATAAGTACTATTGATGGATCTCTGTCATGCCTTCACAGTGATCCCTTCTCTTCTGTTCCTGTTGCTGTGACCACAGTTAAAGAACATGATTTCACGGAAAGAACTGCCATTAAAAGCAGTTCTGGCTGTTGGTGTTTGACTTGCCTGAGACTCAGTTTACTAATCTGTAAAGTGGTCATAGGAATAGTCTTTTCCTGTGTTTTTTTGTGAGTGTTAAATGAAACAATATATTTGAAAGCAACTGGCAGAGTGCCCAGCTATAGCATGTGCTCAGCCCATGTTAGTTTCTCTTTCTCCTTTACTCATGTTTTTTTTCAACCCACTTTCTTCTTTTCCTTCCCTTTTCCAATCTGTCCAGAATTAATTTTCTCACAACATAGCTCCTTCATTAAATCAGAACCCAACACACATGAACTGTGTACTGGGCCCTCGGACAGGGTTGCAGACTTAGGACACGAGATAGGCCTGAGGGGCTACAGTCTCCTAGCAGAGATTTTTGTCACCAACCACTGAAACGTCTTTCCCATCTCTCCATGGCTCTCACTCCACACTCAGTGGAAGGTCAGTCTCCTTGGTATGGATTCAAGGTCCTCCTCGAAGTGGCTGAACTGGTTTCCCCTTCATATTCCCTATGTGCTGGCCAAACTGAACTCCTCACCAGTCTCTGAACGCATAGCTCCTGGCTTCCATGTCACTGCTCTCTCTGTCCCCTCTGCTGGAAATGCCCTTCTCTCCTTCTCTATTTGTAGATGGCCTGTCTGTCCCTTAACCCCAGTTCAGCTGCCCCATGCATGAGGCCGTCTCCAGGCCCCCCGGGAGAGGTGCTTTCCTTCTCCCTGCACTGCTGTCACACTTCGTCCAGATGCTTCTTAGGGTACTTGCCGTGATCTACACAGGCTGATGGCTGTAGGCTGATGGCTGTTTATGTACGTCCTGTTCCTCTCAACTACACTGTGATTGCCCCAGGAAAATGCATTTCTCTTCCTAACCTCAGCAGGTCACGTGAGGCCCTCACACCTGCAGTTATTCTGGGACATGTTTGGTGATGGATAAATGAAAGTTTTTACTCATTTTGTTTAGCTTGTTAATCAGGATCCTACATCTGAAAGCAGCTGTTGTAAAATGAACAACTACTTATTAGCAATAGCACCCAAAACACCAACACATTTCGTGCAGGCTGCTGAACAGTCGTTGCCCACGCCTTTTGTTCTTAATAAAAGTCAAACGTAGACACTTCCTGTTGCTCTTGTTGATATGCCTCTTAGGAGCAATTCCTGATCTTTCCTGAGAACTGGAGGGTATGTGATTCTAGAAAGGAGAACAAAACAGCCCAGTGGATAATCTATTTCTGATCAGAAGTTTCTAGGAGATAGCTGTTTTTTGTAGAGAAGCCTTTTCACCACTCTATGTCTCCAAAAGAACAGAAAATTGAATGGCAATAGCTTCTGTTAGTCTGTAAGAATCCTGTGATTAGGCCTCTTTGGGTAAAAATCTTGGTTGAAGTCTGATTTAATAGAATGGATTTCACCTATAATTTTTGAATGGCTTTGGAAGAACAATGAGATGAGCTCCTTGAGGGTGTTGGAGAGACCACCTCATTTATGTCATCAGTGTTCTTCCTGAGCACTTGCTGCAGGGGGAGGCAGTGGCCACTGAATCTACTCTTGAGTGATGAAGGTTTTTGTTGTCTTTTTGTCCTGTCTCATTCGTAAAGATTCTCTTGCTTCCCTAAAGGTTAAAGCATCAGGTGAAGTGACTGGCTGCTCTGCAGTTAGCAGGTGTGCACTGATTCCAGGAGTGTGGGTCTCCTGATCGCAAATGTAAGTCCTAGAGACCCAGTTTTAGACATTCTAGTCTGCTGTCATACCCTAGGCCTCATTTCAAGTTTGGAAAATAATCCCTAAGGGCAGTCATAATTCATAAGATCATTTCTCTGTGTGCGAAGAGAATGGCCCTCTTGAAACCATGTGAGAGGGCCTTGAGAGAGTGGACGTGGAGTCTTTCCCTTCATCTTTGCTGGGCATCATAGGATGCCCAAGAATCCTCTTTCAAGCCACTGGAGAGAGACAGTTGGCTGGGAGGGGGCGAAGAAGCCTGTTCCACCTTATTGCCACCCCCCAACCCCACTCCTTGGGGCTGATCTGCCTTGTGCATGCTGCCTCTGCCTAGGGTGCCTTTCTGACCGATCCCATGGCCCTGATTTCGTTTTTCCCTCTGTTTGTCCCAAAGTGTTCCCATCTACCTGTGCTACATAGCATTTATCCCACAGCAGTAAAATTACCTGTGGACATTTTTGTCTCCCTGACTAGCCTGTGAGTTCTTGCACCCAGTGCCACGTTTTATGCTTTTTTGTATCTGCCCCAGAGCCTAGCAATAGGCAAGGCAGCTAGAAGCCATCCACTATCAGTTGAATGAATGGAGTCTAGACTTTTGAGCCTAAAGTGTAGCTATTATAAATTCAGAAACCATCTGTGCAGAACTTACTTATTAGATTATTTGGCTATCTGTGGTTTTATGCACATGTCTTTATGTTCTCCTTTAGTCTTTAGAAAATTCTTTTAAAATTTACCAGCCTGTTTCAATCATGTTGCAATAGGACCCCCCCCAAAAAGAGGTGACTCCTTGCTCCCTGCCTGCCTCAGGGAGGAGCACACTTTCAGGGGCCAGCGTGAGAGCGGCATCCAGAGTTAGAGTGAGTGAACCCTAGGAAGAGAGAGCTATGGCCTGCTCTCGCACAACCTTAGAGTTTATGAGATTTATTTTTTTGCATTGAAAGTTGTCCCCTTACAGTTTGTGTTTCAGGTGGCAAAGCAGCGCCTTGCCATGAATCTGTTAGCATCCTCGTGAGCACGTTTTGTTCCAGGAAACCCTCGACTTGTGATTGGGAGAGAGAACTCCCAGCAAGTCCATTCATCATATGACTAGAGTAAGTGAAAGGTAATTCTTTTTAAAATGTGAGTTATGGAGCTTTGTAACGTGCCATTTATCTCTGTCTCCTGCGGAAAGGAAGAACGCCAGGGCAAGTTTATTACTTAAACGCAGTGTGCTCTGTTGTCTTTGGGGCTCCACTTCCCACCCCTGTTCTAGCACACAGCACTGCTCTAACGTGAGGAATTTTGATGAAAACGTTGATTAAGCACCCAGAGTTGCTTGTTACCAAATGCGGAGTAGATGTCTGAACATATACCTGGTAAGCAAGCTGCTTAATTATTAGGCTTCTGTGTCTATTTAAACACATCTTGGTTTAATGTTTCATATCTAATATATGTGAGGAATATTTTCTTAGAAGAAAGCTAAACAGCTTTAGAAATTGGAAACCTTCTAGAACTCTTAACCAGGCAGGAAAGTTCAGAAGAAGGGTAAAAGGGATCAATGCAGTCAACCATAAATTTGCAAAGCCTCACTAAAAATGAAAGGGTTTACACATTTCTTTTCCCTCCCATAGAAATGGTATTGACATGTAGCCACGAACCTTGGCAGAATGGAACAAAATGGCACTATCTGCATTCACATGAAATGGATAACACAAAATATTTACGTTCCAGTTTTAGGAAGTCAATATAAACCAGAGAGAGAAAACCCATTGTCTCCAGACTTCCTTTTTAAAAAATTTGCAGTAGCTGTTGCACAGACAAGTGACAATACTGTCCTAATACATTCAAGGCTAAACCCCTAATGGCATTCACACTTGTCAGGCTCAAGCCAATTATTTATTCACATTTATTCAGCTTCTGCTTCTCCATCTCGCCCACATCTTACTTGTATTCCTAGTGCCTGGCACTGGTCTGCATTTAACGTTTAGCGAGTGGGTGAATGGTGCACGTCCATGTGGAAGATACTGGTAGTAGCAGGGTGCTTGGCACAGTCCCAAGCACATAGTAGGCACCACCAAATATGATGAAGTGTGAATGAAAACACGGACGTGACCTTCAGAAGGTCATGGTCTAAACTCCCGTAAGTGAGGAGTACTTGGTCCTGTCTACTTCCTCGGAGACAGAAATGAGTCAGGGCTTGGGGGAGGCACAAGGGAGTGCAGAACCATGAGAGGGGGTTTCTAGTTCTTCATTTGCTATTGCTTTCCTCTTCAGTCCACCACACAACATAAGGGGGCTGGCCCTCTGCCAGGGCCACCACTCTTCCTGGCTGCGGAGGGAGACCCTGACAGTCCCATGGGGACAAGGGACTCTCCGCCTGAGGTTTCTGCACGTCACTCCACTTGTCTGTATTCCAACTTAATTAACTTTATCAGACGCTTTGAATAAAATTACACCCTCCCTCTTCCATTATGGTGAACACTTAAAATTACATTCACACGAAATTACATTTACACAAACTTCTATTAAAAGCCAAATTCCAAGCCTAAGCTATTGGGCCAAATTCTATTAAAAAAGAGGATATTAAGTAAATTAGTTGAGCTGATTAAAAACACCTTCATCAAAATAGAACATTGGTGCCAACAACATTGAGTCGAATTATTGATTTTTTTTTTTTTTTTACAGCAGCTGGTAGGTTAGCAGAGAAGAAAAGTGATTCTCCTTCCCTTCCTCTGCACCCCCCCCTTCACTTTGGGGGTAAGAAGGGGAACTACTGCCTTATTGCTGGGGATCCAGGAAAGGGATGTGACAGAGTAAGGTGGGAGGGCGTGAAGGTAGAGAATGGGGCCTAGGTGAGGGAGAGGAAGGGAAAGGAGGAGTGGAGACTAGTGGCCAGAGGGATCAGAGGTCAGACGCCCCGAAGGAGGGCGCTGTCCTTGCGAAAGACTGGCTACCTCTACCCTCACCTGGTCGGCGGGACCCCAGCCACAGCGGCGAGCCAGGCGGCTGCTGGAAGCGCGCACAAGGCCGCTCCCGCTTTCGGCCGCCAGAGGGCGCGGCCGGAGCCGGCGCGGCGGAGCGAAGGAGGGAGGAGGGGAGCCGGCGGAGAAGGGTCAGCCGCGGCGGCAGGGGCGGCAGCGGCGCAGCTCCGCTCCCCGGGCGTCTCACGTCCCCGCGCCCAGGCAGGGCGCACAGTCCCTGTCGCCGGGATGCGGCTGCTTGCCTGTCGCGGCCGCCGCCTCGCGCTCCCAGCACTGCTCTCGCTCCTCACCTGCTCCCTGGGTAAGTAGCGGGCGGCCCGGGCACGCACGGGAGAGGCGTGGGCTTCCTGGGCGCAGCCCCCCGCGCCCGAGCGCCGAGGGAGGCGCCGGGCGGCCCACCC